TTGAAACTGCAAAAAAGGAAAGTGTTGCAATTATTTAGAGACGGAGGAAGTATATACACATATACTCCGTATATGTTTGTGTATAGATGTATATATAAGTGTTACGCCTCACATTTACACCTTATTGTGCAATGAGGCTTACACAATATGCAATCATTAAAAAACACCTCAAATACGCAATACGCAATTTCGAACCTATGATGAGACAAGATGTAATGTAGCATTGTATAGACAACTTAGGGGTGCTTAAGGTTCCCATGTCACACAGTCACAGTAGGCCTGAAATTTTATTTGGTGTGGGGCTAGTAAGCAGGTTATGGCCGATCCTAAACAATCATATCTGACTGCTGCAAAAAGGGTGTTAATATACTACTCCCTCCGTAACTTAAAAATCTTCCCACTTTCCTTTTCGTCCGTAACAAAAAAATCTTTCCATTTCTAAATCTTCCCATCATACCCTCAATATTCTTAAAATTATACACTATTACAACTACTTTTTTTGGATTTATCCTACATTCCACCACATTATTCCACTATTTTCCCATCATACCCTCAATAATTCATATCATCTTTCACTATTCTTAATCTACCTACTTTTGAAATGGGAAGATTTAAAAGTTACGGAGGGAGTAGAATGGAAGACACAATTATGGTGTTCTATTTTCTAAAGATATCAATTACTCAAAACTCAAAAGAAGAGAAAGTGCTGAATTTAACTGCCGACTCTAATTGGTGAGGAGATAGGGTTGATAGAAGTAATATGGGGTTTTGTATTTTTTTTTTTTGAAGAATACTCATATATTGTAGCACTGTCCACTTGCAGAGAAGAATACATTGCACCTTGCTATGTTGCATTGAAGGCTTATGGTTATTACATTTTATTGAAGAGTTCAAACAAAAATTGCCCTAAGTAGGAGTAATTTTTTATATATATTCCAAATTAGGACTGTCATGTTTTTATTCCCTAAATATAACAAACCAGTGTCATGTGTTGACAACATGGTTTGAAATAGCGGCCCGCTACCGCTATAGCGGCCGCTATATAGCGGTCGCGGTAGGGGCCGTTACCGTTACGGCCCGCTATTCGTGTGTGATTTCCAAATCATGGGAAAAATCCGCTACGCCGCCCGCTACAGCCCGCTACAGTCCGCTACAGCCCGCTATTGACATTTCCGGCAGTACATCACGAACTGTTTGATGTGTAAATGTGTAAATGTTGTGTGAATGATGTGAAAAAATACAGTAATGGTGATGCATGGAGTGAAACGCAAAATTAAATGTTGTGTGAATGATGTGAAAAAATACATCTATGTTTTGCGCAATTGAAAATATTTCATGCCGCTGCAACCGCTACAGTCAGCTACAGGCCGCTATCGCGATGACCGCTACCGCTATCGCTACCGCTACCACTACGGCTATTTAAAACCTTGGTTGACAGTACCATACTTTAAACATGACTATTTTCTAAACTTCACAGTAATTACTCTTATATTTAGAAAATAAAAAACATGAAAGTATTATTTTGTAATTTCAAAATGTTTATACTCTTATTTCGAGGAATTTTCCCTTAGAATTTACATGTGACGCCCAATAAGCCCAAGATACATACACTAGTACATTACAATACATAGTATTGAATCCATAACATATTATATCTAAACCGCAAGACACTAAAACTTGCTTGAACATGAGGATGTTTTTGGCAACATGTATCGCTATAACCAATCTGACGATCTCTGTTCATTGCAGTGGGTAGTTCAAAAATATATATTGACAGTCAACAAACAGATTTGGAAAAACTAGTTTGGTAAAGAAATAGAAAAGGAATGACGGCATTGGTATGGAGCAGATTGGGAGAACATCACCACTCCACCAGAAAAGGACCTCCAAATATCCTTGTCCTGTGGTGGCCTAATAGTTAACTTTTCAAACAGACTTACAGCCAAGAAGTAGGCGGCAGCGGTACATAGATGGGATCTAGTTTTTTCTTTTTTTGGCTGTGTGACTGACTAGGCAACCTGTTGTGGCAATCGAAAGTCTGCACTAGGTAAACACCCACCCCGTCTTTTGACCCTTGCCAAGAAAGATCACAAGGAAGTAATCAAGCTCAGATTCAGCAACTGACCTGCTCAAACCAAGAATATTCAAATCCAACTGGTACCAAACTAGGTGGCAGTTGTTAGGCAGGGAAAATATTAAAACAAATATCTGAATTCATATATAGAGCGAGGGATATGTAAACATACAACTTCAAACTGTCGTTATAATTTCAAGTTAAACTTGATCAACATCAATGTTAAAACCTCTATAGGCAGCATAATCCACAAAGCTGCGTAGTGGGATGACCTTATCCCCATACTTCTTATCGAGAGCATCCAACACTCTATTAGCTTGTATCCTCATTTCCTCAGCAATTTCCATAGCCTTCTCCACACCGTACACCCCCACATAGCTTTTCAACTTCTTCATTTTAGTAATGACAGTCTCATTTGTGTCCTTAGCACTCTGCTCCTCCTCCTTTGCTTCCAATATATCATCAACAACTTGATACAACACGCCTACAACCCGCCCGTACCTTCTTAGCATGTCAATCTCCTCATCCAAAGCACCCGCTAGTAGACCCCCGCAGACGGCCGAACACTCACCCATCTCACCGAACTTCTTTTCTTGAACGAATCCCACGGCATAGGGCCCGCCCTCGAGGTCGATAAATTGTCCAGCAGCCATGCCGGTAGACCCCACAGCACGGGCAATCTCCGCTACCACCTTGAGAAGTTGATTCTCTGGGACAAGATCGGTTGGAGTGTTGGAGACTATATGGCGGAAACCGAGCGGGAATAAGGCATCGCCAGCCAAAATTGCCATGTCCACCCCGAATTTTGTGTGGTTCGCTGGTTGTCCTCGGCGTAATGGGTCATCGTCCATGCATGGCAAGTCATCATGAATCAAAGAGGCCGCGTGAACCTAATCATGCATGGTATTGATCAGCAACTTATATGAAGAATAACATGTGAACCACAAAACACAGAAGCATACCTTTAAACAAAAATAATTAACTTGACATTTTCAGGCACAAGTCAATGTGCACGGTTCCTAGTTCACACCGTAGTGATTTATATACAACAACAACATTCAAGCCTTATTCCCAAAAAATTTTGGGGTCGGCTAACATAAATCAATCCATGATGTCGGAGCCAATAAGAAAAATAAAAATACAAGTTAAGATTAAAAAAGATAAGATGCATTGATTTCATTTTATAGAGAGAGAAACGATCTCATTAGTCACGATGGGAATCCCCTTAAACCAACTACTATTTAGTAAAAATGAAGCCAATGATCCATTTTTTGCTCATTGTATTAACTATTTGTTTCAACCATTAAATCATACTTCCTCCGTCCCGCTAGAAGGTTCCCGTGAACGGTTTACGATGCTTGACTGACGATAAAACAACTTAATCCCTGTTCACGCTCTAATTATTTTTTAGTAAATAAAATTTACATATTCAGGAACTACATTAAAACTGCTGCAAAGCCTGATAAAAAATGTAAATTTGATAAAAAATTGATATGTAAAGTACAAGATTAAAAATGATTAAAGTTGACCGTGTGAATAGTGGACGAGAACCTTCTAATGGGACGGAGGTAGTAAAAAATTAAATTTTACCAAGCGTAATTCCATGTTGTATGAATGTATGATGAATGAATTAATTTTAATCGTTAGATGATGATATGAAGCCGGAAGAGCATGTGGCGGGACCGGACTTGGGCCCACTTCCGTGGGCCGGTTACGGGCTGTTTAATTAATATTTATTATTCATTTTATTTTGTTTCCTAATTTAATTTGTTTCCTAGTAGGATTTATTTAGGACTTCTATTCTTACTAGAATTAGAGGTTTCCTATTTCTATTTAGTTTCCTAGAATGATTTAATTAGGAGTTCTATTAGAACTAGAGGTTTCCTATTCTATTTAGTTTCCTAGAATAATTTAATTAGGATTCCTATTCTTATTAGAGCTAGAGGGTTATTTATACCCCTTGTATGCTTCATTCTTGATCATCTGGGAATAAAAGTTTGGTTTAGCCTTTTGGCTTTGGGCAACGATATTTATTTATCGTTGATTATCTGGGCAACGGTTCACCCCGTTGAGTTTACTTTTCTTTTCTTATCAATTGGTCCGACCTGCCGGATCCCCGTCCCGCCAAGATGACAAGAACTCAGAACGAACGACTGACGGAATTGGAGGCTGAACAGGCCCTGGTAAATCAAAAGCTCGATTCACAAGGAGAGAAACTGGATGTACTGGCTCGGAAACAAGAGGAGCAGGCCGCCCGGCTTGCGGAAATCGCAGAATCCCTGGCAGCAATCGCAAAGGCCATGGTACCGCCAGCGAAGTCTCCAAGCACGACCATCGAGAGCGGCTCCTCCGCCCACATCGCGACTGCTTTCACCGACGAGGGCGGACCGCGCAGCGCATCCACGACACTGCTTCCCTCATTCGACGGTGAAGACCCAATTGGGTGGCTGGCAAGAGTGGAACAGCAGTTCGAGCTCAACAGGACCCCACCGGATAGACAAATTGCAGCGGCTAGGGTTTCTATGGAAGGGGCAGCCCTCTATTGGGTGACATGGTTAAAGGCGCGCAAACCCGGCATATCCTGGGAGGAATTTAAGCAAGCCTTGGTGGCTAGATTTGATTCCCGATATCAAGGAAACAGATTTGAGCGGCTAGCTGGCGTTAAACAAATTGGGCAAGTGGAAGATTACAATACTTTGTTTGTACAACTCGCCAGTCAAGTACCCGGATTAACTGACGATCATTACTTGGGCTATTACATGAGTGGGCTTAAGGAGATAATCCGAAGCTCGCTGCGATTACTTCGACCAAGCAACCTGGAGATGGCTATGGAATTAGCTCGCGAAGTGGAGTATAATCTGTCCGTCCAAAGTGGAGAAAGTGGCAGCCTGAATTATCATTCTTCGGGGGTACGTTCCAGCAGTTTTGTAAGGGCAAACACGGGTCCCCCGTTGACTGCCACCGGTGGCAGCTTACAGGGCTCAGGGGGCAGCTTTGCGAAGGATAGTGGACAGCCTCCGGGGACAAAGTCAGGGCTGTCTGGGCAGCCTACGACACGATCCCAGTTCACCCGTCTTGCGCCAAAAGAGTTAGCAGATTTGAGGGCAAAAGGATTATGCTTTAGATGCAAGAAACCATTCACGCCAGGGCATGATTGTCCCTTTAAGCAGCTGCGGGTAATGATAGCCGAGGAGGATGAAGAGTTGGACCTCAAGCAGCATGAATTCTGCGAAATAACCGGCCAGGAAAGGGTTCATGAAGGAGAAGAAGGATATTTTCCAGTCTATACTATGTCTGGAAATTTCAGCTCCCAATCAGCGAGTTTTCAACCTTGAGGACAAGGTTATTTTAAGGGGGGTGGATTGATATGAAGCCGGAAGAGCATGTGGCGGGACCGGACTTGGGCCCACTTCTGTGGGCCGGTTACGGGCTGTTTAATTAATATTTATTATTCATTTTATTTTGTTTCCTAATTTAATTTGTTTCCTAGTAGGATTTATTTAGGACTTCTATTCTTACTAGAATTAGAGGTTTCCTATTTCTATTTAGTTTCCTAGAATGATTTAATTAGGAGTTCTATTAGAACTAGAGGTTTCCTATTCTATTTAGTTTCCTAGAATAATTTAATTAGGATTCCTATTCTTATTAGACCTAGAGGGTTATTTATACCCCTTGTATGCTTCATTCTTGATCATCTGGGAATAAAAGTTTGGTTTAGCCTTTTGGCTTTGGGCAACGATATTTATTTATCGTTGATTATCTAGGCAACGGTTCACCCCGTTGAGTTTACTTTTCTTTTCTTATCAGATGATCATTAGAAGTGAAAGTGAGTTTGTATGGTGTATCATTGAAAAAATTTAGATCTAACGATTGAAAATAATACTCCGCAGTTAATAGTAGTACTAATAAGTCCAAAAAGTGGATCATTAAAGTTATTTTTTGGGACAAATGAAGTTGGTCTGATTAGATTCTCATCATGCTGCTTGACATGAAGATTACTAATATATATATCTATATCTATATATATTATATATATATATATATATATATATTAGATATTATTCATGTCTCCACTTAAATCCACAACGCATCGCGCTTACCTCTGCAACTATGCTTCTTCTTGGGTTGGATGAGAGTGGCTTTGGAGAAAGAATATTGGAAGGTGAATATTTGTGTGAAGGATTGATTTCTTTTCTCTTTTTCTCTTTTATCTTTTTATCTTCTTAGGGTGGACATAAACAGCACAAGAGATTATCATAAAGAGGTAAAAGATTTAGTATTTCATCCTAAGTTAAGCAGTTAAGATAAAGGGTGGACATAATCACATAAACAGCACAAGATATTTAAAGAGGTAAAAGATTTAGTATTTCATATTCTAATCTAATATTTAGTAATGAGCAGTGGAGGAACTAGGGTGTTAGGGTTAGGGCTCACACACACACAAATCTGAAAACGAGAAAAGAACGAGAAGAAACGGCACACAAAATTAACGTGGTTCAGCCAGTAAGTGTTACCGACCTAATCCACGGGGGCAACTAGGGTTTTCTTCTTTATTGAGGTGATGAATGATACATATGATAGTTGACAAGTACAGGAGTCAATATATATAGGCAAACAATTAGGGTAAACATTAAATAAAGTTTTGGGCCTGACTGCCACCAAAGAAACAGGCCCAAATGAGGCTGGCTGCACATATAACTAGGGCCGGCTGCTGCTCTAGTTTATTTGGCTCCCAAATGTGAGTGGGTCGAAGCCTACAACCCAACATAGGGGGGTCGGGGGGATCCTAGGTCGGCAAGTGCCCCCGCTTCCGACCCTGAAGTTTAAGATTAGTACTTAAAGATAAAAATTGTGCCCCTGCTACGTGGTCAAAAAAACTACTAGAGATTATTTCATAAATATTACCGAAGTGGAACTAATGGACATAAATATTATTATAGTCACTATGCATAGTCACTATATTGATAGATTGAACACAATCATGGTCACTAAAATTACCATTGTAGTTACCAAATCTTATTGTTGTCCACTATCTTTAATGCAATCACATTGCCATTATTTCAAAAAACTCTATGTTAGGAATTTAATTTACGCACACGAAAAAAACAATAATGAAGAACACACGAAATTTGGTAACCCAGTTCGCCACGAATGACTACGTCTGAGGGCGCTACCAAGCCAGGAATATTATTGCTATTTTCGGATCCACACACACTGATTACAAGGAAGAGAGCTTGTATTTATAGATTAGTAAATCCTAACCCCAAGGCAACTAGGATGTGTTTCCTAAAATAAATTAAGAAACGTGTTTCCAAAAATAAATTAAGAAACTGTCTCTAACACCTTACAATCTCCCACCTAGAGACTGTCTTCTTCAAACCTCCCTAGTAAGCATGTGTTCATGTATGTGAAATCATACTTAGTAACGGATGAACTTAATGCAAATCCGTTTAGATGTGATTTCATCTAAACAGATGCAAATCCTAAACGGATTTGCATTAAGATGTGATTTCATTAAAATGTTAATCCAAGTCGGGTGTATCATTAATCTTTCATTAAAATGAAAGATGTCATTTTGTCAAATCCGTAATACAACTTTTATGCAAATCCTTATACTTACATGTGATTTCATCCGTTAATCCAATTTTATGCAAATCCTTATACTTAGATGTGTCATCTGAACGCATTTGACAAAAAGACTAATGATACACCCGATTCGGCCCGACCCAACCCATTTCCATCTACGTGGGAGTACCAGCTTCAGAAAATTTCTGGGCCCACCACGGGTAACGAGGGCATTAGCTACTTTCAGATAATCAATTGCTCGTATAATTTTGTGTCACCCACCTTATGTGATGATTATGAGCACCATAATATGAATTAACCGCAAACCCTTCTAAACAAGAATTCTTACAGGGAGTTCACGTTAGGGTATGTGATCGGCAAATTAAATAACGTAAAGCAAAACTCTGGGAAATTCAATCAGTTCACACACACACACACAAATGGACGAGGTGTAGATTGAGAATTTGGGGATGAACGAACCATTTCTAGAGCGCAGGCGGTGGGGAAGGCGGCGAGGCGGTTACCGCCGAAGAGCTCACAGGCGGAGACGCACATGATGGGTGGGGCCCTCTTGGCGCCTTTGGAAAGAACAGAGTATCGCATGGCCTCGTAAATCTGGTGCGGGTATTGAGTTGGAATTGCTTCATCCAGCTTCTGGTTGATCTCTTTAATCAGTGTGGCCCAGTAATTCTTCAGATCAAACTTGGCCGACCCCATCGATGCCGAAGAGCAACTAATGGCTCGCTGTAACACCGGCCGGTTTCCCGGAATATACAGTTGGCATGGATTTATTGCCGTAGCGAACACCATCTCTATCTATCTCTGAGAAACATACCAACAAAGGAGAAGAGAGACACAGAATAATAATGAGCATAAGGGCATCCTCATTCTCATTGGAAAGGATTATTAAGAGATTAAATTGATGACGTGGCGGATTTTTGGAGGAGTATCATTGAGAAAATGAGAAGACATTGATTATTTAATGAGATTATTTGCTAGAATAATCTGGGATCAGATTATTTTAAAATTATTTGAAAAAGTATATGTAATACGTTAACGCATGACTGAGAAAAAAGCGGATTATTTGAAGATGATGATTGAGATGCATAAACGGATTTTGAGATTAATTAAAATTAATTATGTAACAATATTTAAAAAATATGAATCATTGAATATATTGATTTTTAGAGATTACGAATGGTGATGCTCTAATAACATATATGGATTATTTCTGAGGGAAATTATAAATGCAACCTTATTTTGACTAGAATTACTGAACCGGCATGGTACCGAATGAGCTTGTCAATGGGTCGGGTCTAGACCCGGACCCGATCCGAATCCAATTATTTTAACGGGTATGAGTCTATATTTTATTTTGTTTACTTGGATCTGGATCCGCATCCGTTAGTATATTTAATAGATGTGTCGTTTACATTTCGACTCGAGGACCCAAATCCGTTTAAAATCTTTTATGTTTTCACTCTTTTTTCTTTTTTCACTTTTGATTTTTAATTTCATGTTTCACCAACCTCCTCTTCACTTCAGACCGCTGTAATATGTGAGAGACGCAACTAGTTTCTCTGCGTTTCTCGTTGGTGTAATAATCTGGGAGAGCTGACGGAGGCTTAGAGAGTTAGAGATCGGCTTTTCTCGTCTCCATTCGCCAATGGAGATTAGCTTGGATTCCTTTTCTCAGTGTCTGTCACTTAGCCAAGCGATCGATCTGGTGGCCTCCTGTCCGGATCCTCCTCCCGCATCTAAGTGAGAGCTTTTTAGAAGCAGAACAGAGTTAATCTTCTAATTTTCTTCATTACTCTTTTGTTAATCATTGAGCTCTCTATGTTTCCCTAATTTTGAAATTTATGCTCCTATTGCAGTTTTTTTCGTTGGGCGTTTGGATTCACGCGGACTGATTTTCACACTTCTCATCCTTGTGGCCCCAATATGCACTCCGATCGGCGTGGATACTGAGGTGTGAGGATGCGGGGACGATGCCGTCTGCGTTTCCTAGGCGATGAATCACAGCCCCTTGACCGTGCAGGGAGGCTGATATGGTTCCCAAGGTCGGACGACTCCACAGAACACAGGTTGTTGTCATGCTAAGTCATACAATACGGTCTTGGTCACCGCATAGGCAAATTTGGGGCTCCCCTTCTCAGGTTCAGTGTAATCGTAGCGTGGGACAACATGATAGGACCAGAAACTTTAGGAATTTCCACTGGGCAGACTCAAGTAGGCGGTATCAGTGGGCGGAGATGAATTTTGACCAGAAAAAACAGTAAACCAGCTCCCTCTCACACAAAAAAAAAAAACAGATTTGGTTTCACCTCTCACACAGGTTATGTGTGTTTGATATATTAATTGTATGCAGTTTTTTTAATTACAGAGTAACTACTACTTATTTGCTTACTTGATTTGTTTGTTTTTAGAACTAAGCTTCCGATTAAGTTTTTTGAATTAATTTGTTGGCTTAGTTCCAAGTTTTCTTCTTATAGAGTTCACAATTCAAAATCTCAGGTTGATCCTTCCTTATCAAAATGGTATGTTCCTACTAGCGTTTTTAGGATTTTGATGAAAATTTGCATTTTCAATCACAAGACTTTCCACGGAGAGATTTCCTGCGTGCAATGGAATTCTTTGAAAACCTGAGCAAAACAGTAATATGCATTTTTATCATAGATCTTATTAGCTATCACTTTCTTCTATTCAAAATCTAGTTTCGATTGAGCTAAGTAGTTTACCTTTCTGCAATTTCATTTATTTTTTAATTTTTTACAAGGTTCCAATGCATTCAAAACTTCATAATTTTGTATATAACTTTTGTTAATACTTAGGGCTGTAATCTTTATTGAAATTTCATTGATATTCTGAAGGGTGAACAACATCTATGCTTGAAAGCTACTAATGCGGTTTTCAATTACTCCTCATGTAAGCATCATTATTCATTTAAGAACTAGTAGCCAACTGCTATTTTTGGGTGTTGCTTGGTCCTTTTGTTTGGTCTAGAATCACCAAGTGATGTGTTTCTACAGAATGTGATATGAGTACTTTGTGTTTAATGATTCATATATTTTTTCAGAGATTGACAGTAGAAAAGTTTTTTTTAGAAGATAGAACCCAAAAGCTACATTTAAGAAAACGTAACTTTTGATATCTCCACTGCTGCAACTTTAGCATCATAGACTTATATTGCACTAAATTTACTTCACTTTTTAATGCCCTTAAATATTAACCTGTGATTTCTATTTCTCTGGTGAATCTCAGTTGAGTGAGGAGGATTTCATTAAACTCCATTCTTCTGTGAAGCGTGGCAATGCTGTTGGCGTTGTTGGGTTCCCCGTTTGGAACTCTTATAGATAGTATATTTCTTCTCCATAATTTGATACACAGTTTTGCAGACTAATATTAAAAAATGAGGTAAAAACATGATGCGATTTGACATCTTTTTCTGACAAGCTAGTTTCCTAGTTAATAATTTTTTACTACTACTTTGAGGTAAAACAAAAAGAGGAGAGTTGTTTCAATCATTTTCTTACATTGTTCTCCGATTTACACAAAACTAATGAATGGGCCCCTGGAATGCCTAGAAACCCAGACACTCTTAAGCCTGGTTTGCAAATGCTTCTGAAAAGCACTTTTCGGCTTTTCTTAAAGCAGAAGTGGAAACAAGTGTTTGCAGTAGACTCTATTTCCGTTGCCAAAAGCCAGAAGCCAGAATCAATTCTTTTGGTAATTTCGTAATTCTTCAGAAGTAGGAGGGCATTTATATCGTCCATATTTGTTATATGTCATTAATGCCCTTCTCTTTTTTTCTTCTTTCCTCTATCGTTCGTATAGCCAGCCATAAGTATAAAGAGAGAGGGGGCATTTTAGTACATTCATAAAAACATACATCAATAATCACTTTTTTACCAAACACTCCAACTTCAACACTTTTTATATAATCACTTTTTTTCCAAACACTATCAACTTTTACAAATAATCACTTCTCCTCATTTCATTAAAAAAAGCACTTTTTTAAAAGCAGAAGCTGTTGCAAACAGACCCTTATATTGAAAGATCAGGTGGAAATTCTTTTAGTTAGTAAAGGGGTCATTATTCAGAAATTGAAATCTTTGCTCAATTTGTTGAAATATGGCTTAGATATCGGTGTCAAACAGACCACATAAACATGTTATATTCTTGCCATGATATTTTGATCCCTTTAAAATTCCTCCCATCATATTTTTTGGATATATTTTGGTGCATCAATTCTATAGGTGCATTGTTTTATTATAATAATTGGTTTTGGATTTTTGTCTTAATGATTGCATTCTAATTGCAGATGCCTAATAAAAATACATGGAGATGATAATAAGACTAAAAAGATCAACAAGGAAATGAAGATGCGGAGATAAATCTGATGAATTGTGTTAAAAACTTAAAACGCATAAAAGGAAGAACGAATGTCAAGCATCAATGCCAAATAATCTAATACATAGTAGATTAATGTAATAAATTGAGTTACAAATTGTATTATATGATAATTGTGACATTTTTATATGTTGCTTTTTGGTTTCTTTTTTTGTATTGTAGACATTTTTTGTTGCATCATGTTACTTTTTTGTTTCTTTTTATTGTATTGTATGCATATTTTTTGTTGCATCATGTTGCTTTTTGTTGTAACTTGTTTCCTATTGTTGCATCGTGTTGCTTAATATTGCTTTTGTTGTTTATTTAGGTTTCTACTTATCTCTGCTACTTATTTAAAATAAAAAACCATCTCTCTATGTATGTGTATATACATAAAATGATAAAATTGTGTTTATGAATATAAGCAACCACATAGGGATGGACTCGGGCCGGGCCAACCGGCCCGGAACCGGACCGGCCCGCTACTGTGCGGGCCCGGACCGGCCCGGTGAACCGGTTCGGTTCCGGTTCGGGCCTCCCGGCCTGGTGGTATACCGGTCCGGGCCCGGGCCTCCAGTTTAGTGAACCGGCCCGGCCGGGCCGGGCCCGGTTCGGGCCGGAATTTAATTTTTTTTTTTTTTGAATTTTTTTTATGTTTTGGGTTGGATTAGGTATTTTGGGCCATTTGAGGTGGTTTGGGGTGGTTTGGGGTGGAGGGGGAGGGGTAGGGGGTTAAATAAGAGAAGAAGAAGAAAAAAAAAAACATTCCGGGTGGCCCGGCCCGGCCCGGCCCGGTTCTGGCCCGGAACCGGAACCGGAACCGCCCACCACCGGTTCGGGCTCGGGCCTCCTTTTTCTGAACCGAGGCCCGGCCGGGCCCAGGCCCGAACCGGGCCCGAACCGGAACCGGTCCACCCCTACAACCACAAGAAGCATGGAGAAACAACAAAAAATAACAAAATAAAAGTTATCAACAAAAGAAACACATTGAAACAATATGCTACAAAAATAATATTTTTTGAAAAACTAAATTAGAAGCTTCATATTTTTATTTATTTCCACTTTTAAAATTATAACATGTTTACTTTTTAAATTTTTTTTATTTTTCTAGTTTTTTTTATTTTAAAATGTTTTTATTTATACTAATTTTATTACTTTATAAAATTTATGATTTCTATTCTTCAATTATATTTTGTTTTATAAAGTTTTATGTAAACTTTTTTAGTTTTCTTCAAATTTTATGTGTTTTTAAAGATTTATTTCTATACGTTATTCGGATTTGGAAAAATACTCTCATAAAACTTTCTAGATACTTTTCATATTTTAATAGTTTTAAAAGATTTTCCCCTTATTTTAGATTTTTTCCTTATATTTTGTAAGTTTTAGGGTATTTAACCATATTTTAGACCCTTGTATAAAACTTTCAAATTTATTTGTATTTTTGACAATATATTTTCATATAATTTATTTAACTCTTTGAGAATGTTACGTAAGAAATTGTATTTTTTACAGTTTTCCCACATTTAAGACTAACTTTAAATTTGTAACTTCTTTTTCAATTTTTTATTTTTTAATTTTACATTTTCCTTATTTATTTTTCAAAACTTAAATTACATTCTTTTCTATTTAAAACTTGATTTACAAGTTTCAAAATTTTCATTTTTATTATGCAATTATTGACTTTTTATTTTTGAGTTTGAGGTTTTCTTTCCGTTTTAATTTAGATTTCAGTTTCTTGTTTTTTTTTTCTTTCCCTAATTATTATCATATTTTAAATTTTAATGAAATTTTATACAAAAACAAATAATCGAGTTTTTTTCCGTATTAATGTTAATTAATTAATTAATTACGAAAATAGGATTGGGTTAAAAGTATTTACCAATATACTGCTGGGTTAACCAGGGTCGGGGTAATCGACTTATAAGTCGCCCAACCGTTAGGCGACTTTCCCTTAAGTAAAAATAGCGGCCAGCCACAAAACAGAAGCTGCGTAAACCCAAATCCCCCCAAACCTCTGCTGCAGCGACGACGGACGAGCAACGAGCGACGAAGGACGAGCCATCTCCAGCTCCAGCGAACCTCCTTCTCCGGCGAACCTCATTCCGGGGAACCTCCTTCTCCATCTTCATCACTCTTTCTTCTTTGTTTTAGGTAATTCAAACTCTATTTCATCTCATTTTGAACTTAGGGTTTTGAATCTAAAAATATTCAAAATTTTGGATTATGAATTGATTGTGAATTCAATTGTTGTGAAATGTGGATATGTATGAAATGTTGAAATTTGATTTTAAATTTTTCCGTTGGACGACTTACCCCTGACCGTGATTAAGGCCAGCAGTAAATCGGTAATAACTTTTTTTCCAGCATTTTTTTCATATATAATTAATTAATTAACATTAATTCGAAAAAAACTCCAAATAATCCAGTACTTGCTATACGGAGTATTCAAGCTAGGAACCTAAAGTTAAATACTACGTACTCCGTATTCAAAATCTATTTACGTAGCACTTCCGGGAGTTCCAGGTGTGAGGATTAGGGATGTTTTTACTTGGACTGTAATTTGCTGGTCTGGTCTGATCTGATTTGGTCTGAATTGGTCTGGTCTGATCTGGTAAGGTCTGATTTCTTTGTATTTTTATAAATATCCAAGTCTGGTCTGATCTAGAACAAATTACAGTCCAATTAAAAACATCCTAGACCTTCCGCTTTAAGTAAGTGGATTTTATATGAGCGGGTCTATTTACGAAAAGAACGGTTTCACAACTCTATTTTTGAAAAGAAAATTTAAGGGTGATAAAAGTGATATTATTTTTGGTTTTTGGTCTATTTGTGAAATATTCCATTTTTTATTTATATACAAACACACTAATACATAAAGTGATTAGTTATAACACTTCAAATAAAATAAAAAAAACTAATATATACACACACATATATACATAATAATAATAAATAAAATTATTAGTTGTAATTCTTCAATTACAAATATACACACTAATACATACCTATTATATAAGTGATACTAATTGAGATAGTGTGACAGCATAAAATTATTATTCATTTTGACCATTTATTCATAGTGATAAGTGTGCATTGGGCTCGGTATGCGACACAATTTTTTTTTACTCCAGGGGCGTCTGGGGGAGGGGGGCTTGGAGTAATCAGGGCTGAAACTCAGTTCATTGAGTTTCGAACTCTTATGTGCCTAGCGGGTTTCAAACTCAAGACCTCTCACTAGGCACGGTAACCTCACACCTATCTGGGCTGGAATGCTTGGTTAAGCAACACATAATAATATAATATTCACTATTATTATTGTTTTTATTATTATTAATTATTATTAATATTATAATATCATTATGATACACTCAGTACAATATGTTTTTAAACTCTCAATAGTCCAAGACACCCTTTGTGACTTAATTTGAAGTTTATTCTACGAGCTCTATGTACGACAAAAAGCGACACAAAGTGTGGAGTTATAGGCAAGAATAGATACTTTGTTGGATAAAAGTATTAATACGAGAAACCTTGATTTTTTTTTTGAAAAAGTGAAGATATATTTTGTTTTTTAGTTTGCGCACTTTTCTTTACATTTCACATACATGTCTTGTTATTTTCACAAAATTTATAACAGTCATACTTGGCGGGTCTACCCGACCCGGTTCCGAGACCCGTTGGGTCCGGGTCTGGGTCCAAATATTTATACCCACCGGGTGAACGGATCGGGTCTGGGTCTATTATTAACTTAGCGGGTCCGGGTCTGGAACACTACGTTCCGGCCCGGACCCGGCCCATTGACAGGCCTAGTACAGAACCAGACTAGTATGGTACCGAACTGATAAACGGGGTTTGAAACAGATTTCAAAATTTTTTGTCCCGAACTGGACCATACAGGTTCCAAACAATGTCATGACGGATTCTTATAAAATGAGAATTGGTATCGGGTCGAACCGAACCAGACCAAGGTATGATTTAATTATTTAAATTTGTACTATTATATTTTATCTGAAATTTATTATTATGATTTTATTGAGTCATATTTTAATTTGTAAGTTGAACTTCATATCAGTTACGTAGTAATACATTAATACTTTAATAGCACTATTAAAAAAATGGATACTAATATATGTATATGTGTGTGTGTTTTTAACCCGGAAGGCCAACCACCAAAATCAATGGGGCAAATGCCGGGGAACATTTGCCATTATTTTATTAATATTAAATGAAAGGTACAATTGGAAAGGAGGACGAGGCCAAAACCTTTCCAGAAGAGGCATACCTCTTCGAAATACACGAAAAAAAATAACTAGAAAACTTATACTAAAAGTAAAAGCTAGTGAAAAAAATTGGGGGGACTATACCTTACCCAATTTTACAAATTAAGGGCAAAACAAAAAGGAAGCCAAATTAAGCCAAATTAGGAAACCCTGATGTTAGGGAGACCAACCGCGTCTAAATGGATAGCCCCTCTGACCCGATTAGGCAACTGAGCAGCCTGATAAAAGATGAGATGGAGTCTAGCTCCAATTCCGATATGAGCTAGACGATGAGCAACCTCGTTAGCTTGCTTGTAACAGTGGCCTAATACGATCGAAAAAAGATGAGCTACATCTCTGAGAGGCTCAACGAGATGCCTATAGCTATTGGTAATAAAAGGCCGTCAGAGAAGAGAAATAGCCGCGAGGGAGTTAGACTCAACTTCTACGTCAAAATAGCCAGCTTCTACAACCCAATGCACTGCAACGAAAATGGCTTTAATCTCAGCTTCAAGAACTGAATCAGCATCAAGAGGAAAAGAACCAGCAAAAATGAGGTCACCGTTTACCCCTTTGATTATGGCGCTACCGGCAGAGTGTCTATGAGTATAACCAGCATCTACGTTCACCTTTAAGGTACGAATTGGCCTTTTCCATCTAATTGTTAAAAATCTGGGAATATGACTCTTCTTGTCAATTGGGATGAGTCCCTGCTGCCTAAGAAAGTCTGGTATAGCTTGTCCTTTAGGAAAGTCGAGTCCAGCAGACCAATGATATATAAATGATCTAATAGACCATTTTAGTGTATCAATTTGGAAGGGTGCAGCAGCACTATCCCATGTTAAGGTACTAAAGCTTTTCCAAATAAGCCATGTGATGATGCCTTGGATACAATGTTTGTAAATATCCAGAACATTTTGGACCCAGCTTCCAACCACCAGGCAAAGTAGATCTGTCTGTGAGAAATAGGCCTATTTGGGATATGTATAGAGAATGTGCCCATATAAAAGTCCTAAATTGGCTTAATTTGAGGACAATTATAGAAAATATGCGAAGCAATTATGGACTCTTTTTTGCAGAAAGGGCATTGAGTAGGGAAAACACTAATGTTAAACCTTGTCAGATTTTCAGGGAGGGGAAGTATATTTTCAAAAAGCTTCCACATGAAAAGCTTGATAGGAAAAAACTGTGTAGGATGCCAGATGTGTATGTTAGAGAAAGTAACTGACCTGGTTTCTCTAATTTCATGATATGCGGAAGAAAGAGAGAAATTACCATCCTGTGAAGGGCTCCAGGTGTAATGTCCATTTTGAGAGTCAACCAAAGCCAAACCTTGAGCATGAATTTGACAGATTCGCTTCCAGACTGCAGAGTTAGGTAACTTAGCAACCATATCTTCACCTCTAGGATATCTAGTGTGCATATATTTAGCCCACAGTGAAGATCCTTTGAACCATGTCCACCAGATTTTTAAAGAGAAAGCAGTTTGTAAATCACTGAAAGATCTAATCCCCAATCCACCTTCCTCAAAGGGGAAACATAACTTTCTCCGGCTTTTCCAATGAAATCTCTTACTATTATAAGAAGAGTCCCAAAAAAATGAAGACAACTTGTTTTCCAAAATTCTTATGACAGAATTAGGAAGTTTAGATACAGCCAGTGTGTGTAAGGGAATAGATGTCAGAACATGCTTTATTAAAATGAGTCTACCACTCTGAGACAGAACTTTTTTCCTCCAAGGTGAGAGCTTGTTGTCAAAAGAAGAGATAATTTCCTTACAATATCTGAATCTGTTAATTCCCTGATGCAAATAAACTCCAAGATATTTGATAGGCAGTTTTGAACATTTCATATTTAAAAGGTCCTGAATAGGTTCAATTCTGCTTTCAGGAAATTTTTTCCCAATTATGATTTGGCTTTTGTTGTAATTAACTGCCTGACCAGAAGCTTGCTGATATTCATTCAGGAAATTAGAGAAATTCATCAAAGATCTTGCATCTCCATTCATGAAAAGTAAAAGATCATCAGCATATCCAAGATGAGAGACAATTGGCACTCCTCTGCTTACTGAATAAGGTAAGATTTTGCCATTCTGGACTAATTTATTTAGCCCCTAGAGAAAGCTTCTGAGGTCATAATGAAAAGATATGGGGAGAGTGGGTCGCCCTGTTTAACTCCCCTTGTTGGCTTAAAGAAACCATGAGTGTACCCATTCACCCTAACAGACATGCAAGTAGCTTTTAAATTATTCATAATGATGTTGATGAAACTGTTTGAGAAACCAAACCTGATCAGAATATTCCTCAAAAAAGCCCAAGATACCCTGTCAAAAGCCTTCGCCATGTCCAATTTAATAGCAATGTTCCCTCCTCTGACTTTTTTATCCAATGTGTGCATTAACTCCTGTGCAAGCAGTATATGACCACTAATTTCTCTGTTCTGGAGGAAACAAGCTTGTTCTATGGATATAATCTTTGTCAGAACTAAACTAAGTCTAGAGGTTAAAACTCTAGTACAAACCTTGATGATAAAGGTAGAAAGACATATAGGCCTAAAATCAGTGAAATTTTTAGGCCTATCATAGAGAGAGAGGGGGTTGTTCGTGTGTGTGTGTGTGTGTGTGTGTGTGTGTGTGTGTAGAGAGAGAGAAAGGGTTGTTCGGGTCAGGCGGCCTCACCGGGCAGCCCCGTGCGGCCTTCCCCGTTTGGGGGCCTTCCCGGTGGAATTTTTTGATGACATGTTTTGAGCATGTTCCGCATCAAGTCTAGTTTATCCATACCAAATTTCAGCTCAAAATTCGATCGGGAAGGCAGTCAAATAAATTCTTGAAACATACTGGGCATTCTGTGCATATATAAAGTGCAGTATGTTTCAAGAAAGAATTTATTTGACTGCCTTCCCGATCGCATTTTGAGCTAAAATTTGGTATGGATAAACTAGACTTGATGAGGACCATGCTCACAAAATTTCATCAAAAAATTCCACCGGAAAGGCACCCAAAAGGGGAAGGCCGCAAGGGCCTTCCGGTCAGGCTGGCCTGACTCAAACGGGACTCTATATTGGATACTGTTGAGTTTGATCCAACACGATATAGTAAATATATGTATAAATGTGTATGAACAAGCTCAGTTTTTACGTGGAAACCCGAAAGGGAGAAAACCACAGGACTTTTTAGGCTAATGTCCAAGCCCTCTCTTTCATATTAGGACTCTCCTCACCATTACATAGTACATGTTGAGCTCCATTAATGGAGCCTTGAGCTAAACTAGAAAGAAGAAGCAGTTTGGGGAAGTAGGAAAAAGATCCTTTACATGGAGGCTAAGCTCCCTATTTATAGACAAAAGGGAAAGGGTTCTATCCACCCTAATGGGCCAAACGGACCAATGTTGGGCCTGATGGGCCGAAATAGGCCTAGCTGCTCGAGCTCCGTACTAAGTAATGTATTGGTCTCCTGAACAGTAATAGGCCGGGATAATATATCCCAACACAAGTCCCCCAGTTTCTTGAGTAGAGAGCGTGCAAATCTGCTCGAGAAAATATACTCTTGCCTGCACTTTTCCTCTATCTTACTGGAAACTGTGTCTTCGAATAATCATAATATATGAGTGGGTGTCTGCCCCTCTGAATATAACATGCCGGTAAGGCGCTCCCCTCCCGACGGGGTCAAGCAAGGGATACTCTTCCCCGGACACTCTCCCCCTGAATGTATCAGGTGGGAGTAGAGGACTCTGACTCGAGCTTCCCAATGGAGAAGCTTAGAGGTCCCTGCACAATATAAGCTGGCGAGGCGGAACTGGCTCGATATGATGTATATGTATGTATGGATGTATGAGAGATGATGCATGAATGTATGAATGCATGTAATGTATGAGTGCAATGTATGAGAGATGGTATGTAAGATGTGATACAAAGCGATGAATGTCATCGGTAAACCAGGCACGACGGCGCTGAGGGGCCGAGCATGCTGCATAAGACGTTCGTTGCCATAGTATGGTCTTACTTTTCCAACGTATGGTCTTACTTTTGCCATGGTGTGGTCTTACGTCAAACAAGAACTGTTTACGAATGGCGCTGAGGGGCCGTTCATGCTGCATAAGACGGTCGTCGCCATCCTGGAGGGAATGGGCGAGCCGAACCGTAACTGGACACGATGGCGCTGAGGGGCCGATCGTGAAGCATAAGACAGTCATCGCCATCCTGGAGGGAATGGGCGAGCCGAACCGTGAACTGGAAACGATAGCGTTGAGGGGCCGATCGTGCTGCAAAAGACGATCGTCACCATCCTGGAGGGGATGGGTGCGCCGAAAATGAGCTAGACACGATGGCACTGAGGGGCTGATCGTGCTGCATAAGACGGTCGTCGCCATCCTGGAGGGAATGGGCGAGCCGAACCGTAACTGGACACGATGGCGCTGAGGGGGCGATCGTGAAGCATAAGACGGTCATCGCCATCCTGGAGGGAATGGGCGAGCCGAACCATGAACTGGACACGATGGCGCTGAGGGGACGATTGTGCTGCAAAAGACGGTCGTCGCCATCCTGGAGGGGATGGGCGCGCCGAAAATGAGCTAGACACGATGGCACTAAGGGGCCGATCGTGCTGCATAAGACGGTCGTCGCCATCCTGGAGGGAATGGGCGAGCTGAACCGTAACTGGACATGATGACGCTGAGGGGGCGATCGTGAAGCATAAGACGATCATCGCCATCATGGAGGGAATGGGCGAGCCGAACCGTGAACTGGACACGATGGCGCTGAGGGGCCGATCGTGCTGCAAAAGACGGTCGTCGCCATCCTGGAGGGAATGGGCGAGCCGAACCGTGAACTGGACACTATGGCGCTGAGGGGGCCGATCGTGAAGCACAAGACGGTCGTCGCCATCCTGGAGGGAATGAGAGATGCCGAAGATGAGCTAGACATGATGGCACTGAGGGGCCGATCGTGCTGCATAAGACGGTCGTCGCCATCCGAGAAGGTATGGGCGAGCCGAACCGTGAACTGGACACGATGGCGCTGAGGGTCCGATCATGAAGCACAAGACGGTCATCGCCATCCTGGAGGGAATGGGTGAAGCTTAAGATTTGCTAGACACGATGGCACTGAGGGGCCGATCGTGCTGCATAAGATGGTCGTCGCCATTCGCGAAGATATGGGCGAGTTGAACCGTGAACTGGACACGATGGCGCTGAGGGACCGATCGTGAAGCACAAGACGGTCGTCACCATCGTGGAGGGAATGGGCGAAGCCGAAGATGAGCTAGACGCGATGGCACTGAGGGGCCGATCGTGCTGCATAAGATGGTCGTCGCCATTCTGGAAGGTATGGGCGAGCCGAACCGTGAACTGGACACGATGGCGCTGAGGGGCTGATCGTGTAGCATAAGACGATCTTCGCCATCCTGGAGGGAATGGGCGAAGCCGAAAATGAGCTAGGCACGATGGCACTGAAGGGCCGATCGTGTTGCATAAGATGGTGATGATCATCTCTTGGCCCTTGTCCTGCTGGTGAATGATGATCATCTCGTGGCCCTTGGTTGTGCTGGTCGTAAGGTTGCCTGGTTCTGATCTCCAGAACGCTTATGGCGCCCCCTACCTCTTTGGGAAATGTTAAGGTTACCCAGTTCTGATCTCCAAAACGCTTATGGCGCACCCTATCTCTTGGGAAATATTAAGGTTGCCCGGTTTTGATCCTCAGAACGCTTATAGCACGCCCTACCACTTGGGAAATATTAAGGTTGCCCGGTTCTGATCTCCAAAACTCTTATGGAGCACCTTATCTCCTTAGAAATAGTAAGGTTGCCTGGTTCTGATCTCCAAAACGCTTATGGCGCACCCTACCACTTGGGAATATTGAGGTTGCCCGGTTCTGATCTCCAAAATGCCTATGGCGCACCCTATCTCCTGAGAAATAATAAGGGGGCCTGGTTTTGATCTCCAGAACGCTTATGGCGCACCCTACCCCCTAATTTTTGTCGAGGTGCTACGTACGTCCCGTTTGGTGACATATGCTCGGCCTCTGAGTTTCACCCCACTACCTTATCTGCGGCCTTATGCGCGTCCCGCTAATCGGTTCTGCCTTCGGCACTCAGACAGATTTCAGCACAGAACCGGTTTACCCTGCTAGGGTTCCCGAAGTTTTCGTCCCACTACCTTATCTGCGGCTTTATGCGCGTCCCGCTAATCGGTTCTGCCTTTGGCACTCAGGCGGATTTCAGCACGGAACCGTTTTACCCCGCTAGGGTTCCCGAAGTCTTCGCCCCACTACCTTATCTGCGGCCTTATGCGCGTCCCGCACTACTAGATTTTTGCTCATTTGCTGCTCCTCATTTGCTGCGGTCATAGATGAAACCGCAGCAATAACTCAAAAATGAATATAATTGCCGCGGTTAGTACCGAACCGCAGCTAATAGTGTACATTTTTCGGATTATTCGCTGCGGGCATAAATGATCCGCAGCAAAAGGTAATTACTTTTAGGGTTAGTGATATCCTATCCTGTCGTCTCACTCCTGCACACACCGCCTCAGTCCCTGGATCCCCCCCGCTCCTCCATCCAGCCATTCAGCACAGCCGCCATCGCCCAGCACAGCCGCCTCACTCCTCTGCCAGCAAAGCCGCCTCACTCCTCTGCCAGCAAAGCCGCCTCACTCCTCCGCAAAAAACCCTAACTAGTTGATCATATCCGCTGCAGCGAACGAGGATTGACTGCGCCTGGCAGATTGAGGTGGACGGTGGCTTCTCCTTTTGTGGCTAGTTTAGCCGATCTTGACGAGTCGGCTACTGGAGCAATACTATAGACTACTGGAGCATTATTAATTTCAGGCACTGACGAGTCGAGTGCTACCAATTTCAGTACCAAATCCGCTTAGTCATCTCTGTCATCTATACGCTCTCAACCCATGGGTGGAGGAAGAGACCACGGACACCACCATGGTGAAGCAGGCCATGCGGCCGGTGACTTTCGGGCCAGTATTACAGTATGTTTTAAACTCAACGATTCAACTGCTTACAATTGTTTATCATGGGATTCACTTTTGAGCAGCTGTAA